AGGTAAAAGCTGTCCCAGAAAAGCTTGAAGGTCCATACAAAGGTGTAGAATCAGACATGTCTTCAGAGGTAAAAGCTGTCCCAGAAAAGCTTGAATGTCCATACAAAGGTGTAGAATCAGACATGTCTTCAGAGATAAAAGCTGTCCCAGAAAAGCTTGAATGTCCATACAAAGGTGTAGAATCAGATATGTCTTCAGAGGTAAAAGCTGTCCCAGAAAAGCTTGAATGTCCATACAAAGGTGTAGAATCRGGAGAAAAGCCTAGTGAGACTGCACCTCCACAAGTGAATGGCACACCAGCCCCAGAAGAACTCAAGTCTGTTGACCTGACAACCCTCCGTGAATCATGTCCAGCATTTGATAAAGGCTGTCCTTTTGCACAGATTGAAGAGAAGCTTATCCCAACAGCTGACATTAAGAAATGCCCTGAATTCAAAGATGGTTGTCCATTCAAAGGAATGGAAAGCATGGCTGAAGTCTATGAAAAACTCTCCAAAATTCCAGCATTTGCAGGAAGTGAATCTCATGGGGCAAAGCTTCTTCAAACCTTGAAGGAAGTGCACAACCTCTCGAAAGAGCTCAGAGAGGATATGGGAGAATGTCCAGTGTTTGCAAATGATGGATGTCCTTTCAAGACCATCTGCAGTGATGGACGCCCACTGATTGAGAAGCTAGAGTTTCGAAGATGGACTGAGGTTCTCCAGACCACCATCCAAGATAACCTCATGCAGGCTGCTGGTAAAGTTGCAGATTCTGAACCATCTATCCAACTCTCCAAGGAATTAAAGAAAGGTACCAAAGTGGTACACAGGGAGGCAGAAAATGTCCACTTTGTCAAGGAGTTCATCAAGGGTCGGATTGAAAGTTACTGGTATCGTGTGCTGCTTGCTGATCTCTATTTTGTTTACAAGTAAGAGAAAATATTTTGTTTATTATACATGTAGTTTGGTGATGGAAAGTTTAAAAAACCTTGACATGTTATAACCATGGTAACATAATGGGTCTTTAAAACATGTAAACAGATACTTGTTTGTTATGTCTGCATATTATACATAATAATTTCATTTGTATTTTTAGACCCTTCAAAGCGTGAATAGATAAGAGCAGGAAAAAAGACAATCATAATCTATTAGTTGTGACTTAAAATATTGTTTTACTCGTTATTGGAGGTGCAGGTTATAGAAGATTAGCCATTCTGAGCTTGAGGATAAAAGTGGGCTGAGTAAGCACTGTAGTGTGCATCATAAAACATGTTTCCAACAAGGCGGCTATTTTGCCCCCTAAAACAGCTCCAAAATGCACTGTAATGCCAGTTTTTGACAACCTCAGAATTGCTAATAGGGCAATAACATTGGGGTTTTGAATTTTGAAGCAATCACATAAGAAGAGGGGTTGGGGGGAAGGGGGTTACAGAATATGAACAACTGGAAACTGAATATTATATCAACTCATAATATTATTCCTCAGTACCATAATACTTCTCAATAAATTCACCGTTCATAATGTATGGCAGGGGGAGGGGGGGCAGGTGAAAATTTGAAATGTCCAGAATAATTCTTAACACCCCCCTTAAAGT